GTGTGTGTGTGTGTGTGTGTGTGTGTGTGTGTGTGTGTGTGTGTGTGCGTGCGTGCGTGCGCGCGCGCGCGCGTTTTAATTAAAACTGGTTTTGTATGAACTGAATTTTTTTTTGGGAATACATAAGTAGTTGGTATATTTTAGAAGTTGAAACTTAGTAGCACTTTGTAAAGTATATGCTGAAGTTTCATGGTATTAGGAAGAACATCTGCAGGAGATTGTCTTCTGTTTTCATGTTGTCATCAGGCCTTTGCATCTGGTAAAAGGGAATTTTGAGGTACATCCTACTTCTTCATGCTTGAATTTCGTTACCCTAATTATGCATTTCATAAGGTTGCGTTCTGCATCTGTGCTTAAGTTAATTCATGAAAAGACCCTGAAAATACTTCTCCTATGTTTCCTTAATGTCTTAAATGTTTCTCTGTAATTTAAGTCATTGATATGATGGGATAACATAAAAATAAGTCAGTTTGTAGATGGTATCTAAGTAATAAAGGTATTTCTGTAGTTCAAAAAGTTAAATAGTGTGTTGAGGGTTTTAAACATTAAGCAGCAGTGTTGTTCCTTAGTCCAGCTGGCATGGGGGTATGTAATAAGTTACAGGCACATGCCACCATATCTGGTAGTTTTTGTATTTTTTGTAGAGACAGCATTTCACCTTGTTCCCCAGGCTGGTCTCAAACTTGTCGGCTCAAGTGATCTGCGTGTCTCAGCCTCTGCCTCCCATACTGCTGGGATTACAGGAGTAAACCACCATGCCTGGCCAACAGTGACAAGGGTTAATGTATTGTGTTTTTAAAAATAGTTAGAAGAGAGGACTTTAAATGTTCCCAAAATATAAAAATGATAAACATTCAAGATGATGGTCAGCCTAGATACACTGACTTGATCAATACACATTCTATGTATGTAACAAAATGTCACAGTGTCCCGTAAGTAGTAGGAGTATTATGTATCAATAAAAAATTAAAAATGTTATAAAAATGGTCACTAGAATATTTTCAAGAAAAACATTATAACTGCTTAAAAATAGTCTCCATAAAAGCCCTCTTGGTTTACTTTAAGAAATAATTATTTGTTAGAGGTGACAATTATTGATCACATTGAAAGAGATTCTCTTAAAAAACTTAAATTACTTAATTGGATAATCACTCTTCTTGAATTTTATTAATATTGTTAATTTCTTAGTGTATGTAAGACTGTATTTCTGTCTTGCCTAGTAAAAGATTATGAATTAGGTTGAATGATTTAATGAAATTACACATCCTTTATGTATCCGACTCTTAAGTGAAATAGAATATTAGCATTTGGTTTTTTACCATTGTGTTCTCAGTGTTTACTACATCTGTATTTATAAGAGAGGATTCATTGATCTTAAGTATGACTTGAGGCAAAACTAGAAATTAACACAAATTGATAAAGATTATTGCAATATTGTAATCATATGGGTTTTAGGTTTCTTTAATGTTTTTTTCCTCAAGAGAAAGTTGAAAGGAATGATATTCTAAAGATTGTCTTTTATATTTTACAGGTTCATTTTCTTGATTTTAAATTAGTACCTCCCAGTCAGAAAATGGAAAGCCTAATGCTGATTAGAGAATTTGCAAAGGAAGTAAAAAAAAGAAATATTTGGTTATGTGGTCTTCTCATATCTTACCCACAGGTAGGTAAAATGTTTATTTTCTGAATGTTATGTTATGTAGACTATAGTTTTAATGGTAGGTATCTGATTTGTTAAAAGCAGGAAGAAATTTTTGATAACAGGAATTATGGCTGGAAAATTAGTCATCTATATGTGTGCTATAATAGAACCTCTTGCCTCTAGTAGAAAAATTAAAACCAATTCAACTTGATTTGTGGGGCAATGCTAATAAGCATATGTCTCATACTAGGTATCCCAAATAGAACTGTCAGGGTCATCAAATAAAAGTACAATTTGCCCAGTTAATATTGAATTTGAAATATGTAATGCTTTTTGGAACTGTATTCCAAATAAGAAATTTGAATTTCAAATATAACCAAATTCTTATATTTATCCTGCAGCCTTGCAAAGCCACAATCCTTGTCCACTGGTATAATTTGAGATTGTTTATTTTTACATTATGTTGAATATATTGGTAGTCAGTTGTTTCTCTCCCTTAACAGATTATTTAATCATTTGAAAGCACTGCCTGGCATTCAGATTACAAGAGGGCATGGTAGTGACCTAGAGAAATGCATTTATTGTCACTTTCTTTAATAGCTGCATGTTAACTGCACTGCAGGTACAATGAGCTAGCGTTAGAGATTCTTTGTGCAGAGAAATGCTATTTAGAACAAAGAATTGGGAGACTCTATCAGAAAATAGAATTAGGAGAAAAATTTGGAGAATCTATAGATTTGTCCTTTGTGCATAGACAGCTTTCATTGGATTTGCGACTGCTTTTTAATTTCTTGGCGGTAACATACAAGAGTCTCGCAAGTTAAACTGTGCACTGCCTTTTTTAGTGGTCTCAGATAAAAGTAATTTGGTACTGAATGTCCAGCGAATGACAGGTATTTAAAGTTATTTATGGGTGATAACAGCTATTGTTTGTGAAAATTTTCAGCTGCATTTTTAACCTGTGGGTAACATTTCTTCTGAAACCATGCATTTTAATGAAATATAAGGATTATGCTTTAGCTAGTCCCTTGGTTTTTTTTTTTTTTAACTTAGAGGTTGTTGTTCTCTCTGCTTCCAAAATAAGCAAGCCTGACCACAGTTATTAAGAACTAGACACATTTTACTTCACCTAGAATAATAGAATTACAAAATGTTAATGTTGTTGGGGGCTACTGAAGTCAGGGGAACCAAGGCCCAAGATGTTATATATATTTGCCCAAGGGCAGATAACTGGCAGAGTAACAGAATTCAGATCTTCATCCATGATCAGTAATATTTTCTCTTTAAGAAATTATTTTTGGGCTGGTGCAGTGGCTCACACCTGTAATCCTAGCACTTTGGGAAAGGTGGGCGGATCGCTTGAGGTCAGGAACTCCAGACTAGCCTAGCCAACATGGTGAAACACCTGTCTACAAAAAAAAATGAAACAAATTAGCTGGGCATGGTGGTGGGCACCTGTAGTCCCACCTACCTGGGAGGCTGAGGTGGGAGAATCGCTTGAACCCAGGAGCTGGAGATTGCAGTGAGCAGAGATTTGCTGCCCTGCACTCCAGTCTGGGCAACAGAGTGAGGCCCTATCTCAAAATTTTTTGGTTGTATTCAGATGATTACAGTGGGAAAAATCTGTTCTTTTTCTCATGTTGTCTAAAGGAGTCATGGACAAACACTACTATTGTCACATTGTGCAGTTAGAAAATAGAGCTTGTTGAGGCAAATCTCAAACAGAAATTGAAGAGCATAAATAATTCCTGTAGCTCTCTTGGCCAGGCAAAAAGTGTCTGTCTGCACTGTACTGAAGCTGACTTTTCAGTAGAGTAATGTTGCCCGGTTATATATATGATGCCCAGTTAAATTTGAATTTCACATAAACAATAATTTTTACTGTGTGTCCCAATGGTTACATGGAGAATACTTGAATTTAAAAAATCTTTGGTGTTTACTTGAAATTCAGATTTAACATGCAAACTCAAAAAGAAAATTTATCAGTTAAAACAACCTATTTGTAGATAGCTTAATGTTAGACTTAAGGATTATGTTATTGGCTTGGCCATTTATATACAGCATAAAGTTTTCTGACTCTATTATCCAGTGCTCAGTAACTCATGTACAATAATTTGGAATGATTTGAAATTCTTACTTTAGATTAGAAGTGCAATATAAAGCTTGCTTTTACAGTTTGTTGAATCAATTTAAACCAGGCCTTATCTTTCTAAATTAATTTTATAAACATGACTTTGGATAATTAAAATGAGCTTTCCTAGTTTAATACTTACAAAGAAATAAGGGACAAATACAAAAGTTACCAAAGCAGTTTTGTAAATTTTTTTTTAAACAATTGTAAAATATTTATGAGAATTACTATAAAAATCCCCAAAACAGGATATGGAACAATAAAATGAAATTTTTTGGTAACAAAATTAAATAAGACTAAGTCTCTTTCAAATATAATTTTAAATAATTTTATGTGTAACATATTCATTTGTCATTATGAATCTAACTTTGCTATACAAGTCATCACTAAGGTCCATGATACAGAATTATGTTTGAGGAATCTGTTCTAATCACCTAAAAATCTGTATTTGATGATCTAGCACTGAACTTACAGAGACATAATATTTCTGGCATGAATAGCTCAAGCCAAAAGTTTAGAGTATGTAGTCTTAATTTTGTTGAAACTTGAAAATATCTCTATGATTTTTTAATGCACATATTTGTAACTGTATTTTTCAGTTTCACATGTGAACTTTTGTGACAGTAAATATTTTAAAGCCTATAAAATAACTAAAGTCTTATAAGCAGTTTTGTCTTTAACCTGTGGATTTTACATGCTTAGGGATTTAGCAATATAAGCACATAAGTTCAAGGTTTAAAAGCTCCCATAAACTATTATAACTGATTGTTTCTTTTGCTGAACTAATGTCTGTTGCCCCCACCCCACGTTGGAAAAACTAGTTATATCATCTTGGACAAGCAATGTAAGTTTTATAGGTCCCAGGTTCTTCATTTGTAAAATGCAGATGTCAGAACTTCCACATTATAGCCTTTGTTGGATGAGAAAGTGGAGACAGAGGATGGTGTGCTGGCTGTGTCCAGGGATGTGTTACACATACATATCTCACTCTGACACACAGACTCTCTGGAACTGAGCCTGGGTTTTCTTTCCCTTCCATATGTGACCACAAACTTCACCTGCTCTCTTATTTCCTTTCACTGAGAAATTATTCATTATGTATATATATTTTATAGAGTTCAGAGAGGGAGCTGTTCTTTTGTCAGACATCTTGATCAAAGCACAGTGGAAGACAGTAGGGGAGTTGGATCCATCAGATGAAGGCTGAGGAGCATATTAAACGTGGCAGCATGGTGGGGAGTATGTATCATTTTACTCTATCCATTTTCTCTTATTTCTTCTCCATTAAACTGTCACTTCACTAAGTTATAATACAGTGGGAAATAGAGCTTTTGGAAGTAATGTTGGCTTAGTGAGCACTTTAATTGAATGGGGACACTAGAAAAGATGGCACCAGTTGGCAGAGTTAAAAAAAAAAACCAAGCTGTGGAGAGGCTGTGGGATAAAGCAGAGGCGCTCTCTTACCCTCTCCCTTCTCCTGAATTCTGTGTTTTCTTTTGTTCCTGTGACTGAAGATCTGGGAGTCTTATAAATGAGAAAGTTACCAAAGCAGTTCTGTAAATTTTTGTTTTTTTAAAAAAAAATGTAAAAGATTTATGAGAATTACAAGAATCTCCAAAACAGAATATGAAACAAAAAAAAAAATACTTTTGGTAACAAAATTAGATAAAGCTGTATGTACTGGTCTTGTATCACAAATTATAAACCATATTGCTCTACTCGATAACATAATTACTATCATTTTTCTCTATTGTCTTGGTTTTTAAGGTTTTCTGTTCATTATAAAGGACATCTGGGAAACATTCTTGATTGTGAAACTCCATGTTAGGTCAACTCATAATAATAAAGGAACCGGTTTCACTGCTCTATTACAGCTTTGGTCCTAAAGATCTGAATGTATAGGGTATCACTGACATCAGTTTTTTCATCTCAAAGGTCCACATTTGCTCTGTGTCCACGAGATAGAGGAATCATCCTTTTAGTATGCATGATCCTTTGGAGGACAAACGGGTGTATGCTGTCAGTTAGCAGAACACTGATTTTTGTTTTGTTTTGTTTTGGTTATCATGGGTGAGGTTAGACTTAGAAGTTTGACTTCCTGCAATGAGCAATTACTTGGAATTTAACTGGGAATTATTTACTAAACACATGAAACTTTCCATGGCACTGAATCACATGGCAGATGCACCAAACATGCAACACCAAATCTGTTTACAGAAACTCATAATACCCTGTTCAAAGTAATCAGGGCTTCTTGATGTGGGAATGTTTATGAGACTAAATATTTTTCACTTTCAATATTGTTTTGGCCTTTATTGTTTAGACTTAGTCATTCTTTGGGAAAATATAAAGGTCATAAAATACATTTTCAAAAATTAGTAGTTTTGAAAAAATTGTTTTTTGGAGAGTTTGGTTAGCTTACTTAGCAGACTCATTAGAGAGTGGCACTAAGCTTGTTTTATTTAGATATATGCAAATGAAATGCAATATTAGACACACATCTTGTACAGAGTTTTTATCAATACGTAATGTACATATTTTCAGGGTACATTTGATAATTTGATCCATTCACATCCTGTGTAAAAACAAAATCGGGGTAATCAGGATATTCATCACCTTGAATATTTACCTTTATGCAGGAACATTTTAGTTATGTTCTTCTAGCTACTTTGAAATGTGCAATACATTGTTAACTATTGCCACCATACTGATGTATCCAACAGTAAGATTTATTTTTTTTATCTAACAGTATGTTTGTACCCAGATCTCTTTTTTTTTTTCCATGGATAAAAGAAAGAACTTTCTGTATGAAAATGAAGAGAAACATCCTCTAACTTAAGGAGGGTACTGCTATGGAAATTTTTAGTGAGTGAGTTCCTTTCAATAGTGC